TTGCGTAGCGCGGTTAAAGAAGACCTCGGGGTTTCCCCGGCTGAACTGGTCCTCGGCCAGCCTCTCCGGGTCCCTGGGGAATCCTTACCTGAGAGTCCTCCCCCATGTTTCGATACCTCTTTGTTGCCTTTTCGCCCCCCAAGAAACTCATTTCCTGTTCCTGGTCCTGTGCACCACTGCCTGCCTGACACTTTTGTTCCGAGTTCGAACTCTGCTCGTTTCGTTTTCATCAGGCACGATGCCCATAGGACTCCGCTGCGTCCACCATATGACGGACCATACAGGGTTCTTAAACCAGGCAACAAACATTTCATTTTGGACTTTGGCGGTCGGCAGGAAGTTGTCTCTGTTGACAGACTTAAGCCTGCACATGTTATGCAAGAGGATCAGATGGTCCCGGCCCAGGCCCCAGTTGATGTGGGAGACGAATAAAGAAGGAGTGAGAACTGAGAGCTCTGTGTCGTTGATGCTTACCTCCACAGTACTTCTGGGCTGCTCAAATCAAAGCGGCAATGTTTTATTTTGTTAATGAGCAAACTCCAGTGTGGGTTTCTATGGAGTCTATAGAAATCAAAATTCCCCCTAACTTATATCTTTACTCAGCCGACAGGAAGACACTAAATATGCAAACTAAGAACCCCTTTTTAAAAAACACTATAATGATCTGGTTAGAAACACATAACTACTTGGGAGAAATGTTACAACTGTCTCGGTTTACTCTGATATTTGGGAAATAACAGCTTTCTTCCTGGTAGGGCGGATGCAGGTTTTAAATTTTGGTTCGATCAAGGTATAAGAAAAGTGTCTGATAAATTTAGGAATAATACTTTTATGTCTTTTGAACAACTTAGAAGTACTTTTTCTATTCCTGTCAAACATTTTTTTTAGATTTCTTCAATTAAGACATTTTATTCTAACCACACAAGGTGACAGCTTAGAAATCCCCACCTCCTCCTCTCTAGAGAGCACAGTTATAAAGCATCTAAATGGGAGAGGCCGAGTTTCTACATTGTACAAATTATTTATGGAAAATTCCAAAGAATCAACAGAGTCTATTTTAGAGGCTTGGAGGAAGGATTTGCAAATGGATATATCTGATGATGAGTGGTATAAATCATGCTCCTTGGCCCAGAGTCAGACATTTAATGTGCAATCTAAACTACTTCAATATAAATGGTTAACAAGACTCCGTCAAAAAAGCATCATTTTAACTGAAACATCCCAGACTCCTGTATTAAGTGTGGAGTGGACAGGGGCACTTCATTTCACAGTACATGGGAGTGTCCACATGTGAAAATCTTTTGGGAAAAGGTAATAAATCTGTTAAGTCAAATCACTGGTGACGTGATTCCACTTCATCCTAAAATATGTATTTTAAATATATACCCGAATAATTTTGTACCTGCTGCAAACAACAGAGCTCTGTTAACGACTGGACTTTTGGAAGCCAAGCGCTGTGTTGCTATGTGCTGGAAAAATCAAAAAATATGTGAACTATCTCAGTGGCTTAATGGACTGACATCTATACTATCTATGGAGAAAATAACTTATGCATTAAGAAATAAACTGTTTGGGGCTCTGTGGTAAAAATTCTACAACTTTCTGAAGAACTGCAGCGTGCACACTGTGGACTTAACGGCTTGAAACTCTAACTTGATTTGTATATCTGCTCTTCCCTTCTGTTATGGTTTGCTTTGTTTTTGTTTCTATTACTATGTTGTTGTTGTTGTGGTATTTTTTTTATGTTCACGGTGCACCATGTAAAACTGGTTAATACCAATAAATAAATGTAAAAAAACAACAACTCTACTTTTAAGATTAGGCTTCAAACTTTCCTTTTTGCTAAAGCATATAGTTAGGGCTGGACCAGGTGACCCTGAATCCTCCCTTAGTTATGCTGCAATAGACGTAGGCTGCCGGGGGATTCCCATGATGCATTGAGTTTTTCCTTTCCAGTCACCTTTCTCACTCACTATGTGTTAACAGACCTCTCTGCATTGAATCATACCTGTTATTAACCTCTGTCTCTCTTCCACAGCATGTCTTTTATCCTGTCTTCATTCTCTCACCCCAACCAATCACAGCAGATGGCCCCGCCCCTCCCTGAGCCTGGTTCTGCCGGAGGTTTCTTCCTGTTAAAAGGGAGTTTTTCCTTCCCACTGTTGCCAAAGTGCTTGCTCATAGGGGGTCATATGATTGTTGGGTTTTTCTCTGTATCTACTGTACAATATAAAGCGCCTTGAGGCGATGTTTGTTGATTTGGTGCTATATAAATAAAATTTAATTTTGAGGTGTAACATCGCAAAGACTGAACGATTTGAAGATAGGGATTTGGTTTTGACTTGGAAGCTGGAGGTTTGCAGAGTTGAGTCTCCTGATTTGTGTTTAGTTTTGTGAAATTTTTTGTATTGGTTTTACATTTGACAACAAACTAAAAAAGGAAATCCACTGCAGACGTACTCATTGTTTTAATGTTTATAGTGTTATGTCAAACCGCGTGGATCCACTGGGCATAGGCATAAAAGGCACCTGATACCAAAGTTGCAGGTATGAAAACCCTGTACCAGAAGTGAAAAACTAGGTGGCTGTAGCTCAGAAGGTAGAGCAGATCATCTGCTGATTGGAAGGTTTATGGTTCAATTCCTGGCTCCCCCAGTCTGCATGGGTGTGTTGGATAGTGCTTTGAGTATTCCAGGAGAGTAGAAAAGCACTATGTAAGAATCAGTCCATAATGGTACAGGTTAGCAGCATGTTTGTACAAACACTGCAAGTTGACTGCAACATAAAAAAAAGTTAGCACCTTATTCCTCTTGATGAAAACTCAGGAAATATCTGCATTTGTACTTTCCCCAATCCACCAACTTGCACCATTGAGTTTATTGGCGTATGGATTAAATACATGATGTGAAGCATGGAAGAACAGAGACCACTTTTAAGAGCAGAATTCAGATCTATTTATTATATTTCCATCATGCATTCATTTCATGCTGAATATGTGCAATACATACACAGCTGTATGTTAAGTGTGGCACAATACCAACAATATGCTATTTGTATAAACACAAAAAAATATGGTAAAAGCGAAAGGATGTGAAATTATTCTGAAATTGATGATGACGTCAGGGTTTTCTCTTTTCAAGCTGCAAAAGAAGCAATAATTTAGTGAAGCTACAGTAATTATTTGTTGCTTTTTCATTTACCTGAAAAACTGTATTAAAATATCAGGTTATTGTCAAATTGGTGCACATTTGTTGGACAGGCAAAAAAAAAAGGCTTCCTGTAGGTGTTCCTGTTTGTAGTTCTAAAGTATTACCTCACGGGTAGAGGAATTCCCTCTCAGACAGCTGACCTTCTCAGTGTGGATAGAGGTATTCATCTTCAGCCCGGGTACCTGAGAGAGAAAAAGAGCCGGTAAAAAGACTGAGGGTGACTCTCTTTAATGGCCTGCATTTGTATAGCGCTTTTCTAGTCCATAGGACCCCAAAGCACTTTACACTACATTCAGTCATCCACCCATTCACACACTGGTGATAGCAAGCTACATTGTAGCCACAGCCACCCTGGGGCGCACTGACAGAGGCGAGGCTGCCGGACACTGGCGCCACCGGGCCCTCTGACCACCACCAGTAGGCAAACACGGGGTTAGTATCTTGCCCAAGGATATTTGGCATGCAGCCAGGAGGCAGCCTGGGATCGAACCACCGACCTTCTGATTAGTGGCTGACCTGCTCTGCCACCTGAGCTACAGCCACCCCCTCTTTACATGTCCAACACACTTAAAACTTCAGTGCTTCAAGTCCTGTTAACTGCTCAGTTTGTTGTACAGCTCCACTAAGGAGCAACATGTGTTGGTGTGCTGTGCTCGAGTTTTACTTGGCTCATAGTAGTCATAGAGCAGGACCACAGCAGGCTTCAGGTTGTCCACTGGGAACTCCTCTATGAGGTCCAAGCTGTGTTCTACAGGTGTGTCCTTCACTAACTGCACAGGAAAAGACACAACGCACTCGTTAACAAGTACAAAGATCATCATCTGGTATTTCTCACTGTGATGTCCTCTCACCTCTCGTAAGTACACCACAACATGATCTTCCCTTTGTTCAACACGATCCACCAGCTGGGCACCTTTGAGCTGTGAAAAGACAATGTTTAGTTCAGTTATCTTCACTCTCACTGTGGGAATTCTTACAAAATTCCTGTGAGTAAAACGTCATAACTGACCTTGTCATAAGACTCCGGGTCTGGGACGTGTCCAGAGAGCAATTTGATATCCAGGATCACCATGTTTGTAGTGCTCTGCGTTCCAGTGTATCTGCAAAGAATCACTCATGTTACTGACTGGTGCTAAGCATAGGCTATCTGCTGATTTAGCATGCTGCTAAAACAATACCTAACCCTACTTCCTGGATAGGTTTCCAACAACTACGCCACAGCAGTCAGTTACACTTGCACTTTAATGTCCATCAATTTTACAGTATCTGCAGCCTGCTGTGTGATCGGTTAGCATAACTGAGACTAGCCTCGCCCTCCAGACCAATCACTATGTTTGTGATTGGAAAGGAAGGTTGTTGTTGGGGTTTGGAGTAGAAACTACTACATTTCTCAGATGCACATCCAGCAGGGCCTTACATTCCTCTACTGTAGCAGTAATGTGCTTACTGAGTACTTACTGGGACTTTATCAGCAGAGTGAGTTTGGGTCGGGAAGACTGACTGTTGTGGTTATACTGCACGTTAACCTCCACGCTCAGAGTTGAGGAACCATAAGGATTTGGGATGTTGTACCGAACAGCAATCTGAAACAAAGTTAACCAAGAAAGATTTTATATTAGGATTTCTGCTCTATTTTCCTATAAAATATGTTAGAAGAAACAGATGTAGTATGTAGCATAGATTAGGTGACTCCTGCACAGGAGGTACAGGTCACCTACTGATCGGAAGGTTGGTGGTTCAATCCCTGGCTCCTGCAGTCTGCATGTCAAATATCCTTGGGCAAGATACTAACCCCAAGTTGCTCTCCGATGCATCCATCGGAGTGTGAATGGGTGTGAATGGCGTTAGAAGCGCACTCAGTTTGGAGACAGTGCTTGTGAGAATAGGTGTGAATGTGGCATGTTGTATACAATGCTTTGGGTACTAGTAGAAAAGTGCTATATGAGAATAATTACAGTAACACAGAGTAAACTTGGCTTAAAAGAAAAAAAATCGCCATTGGCTACAGTTTTGACTACGCTAACATTTATTTATTTAATTTAAATGACAAGTGAACAGTGACTTCATCTTTATTTGGAACAACCAGGTTGATATGGGCACTGACCTGCACAGAAACACTTGTGCTGCCTTTCATCTCCACGATGTACTTCCCTGCTATGTTCTCCACTATTATCTCCTCCTGGTAGAGCAGTCTGTTGTTTCGGTTGACGTGGAACGTAACCTGGCCACCAGGAGTAGCAACTGCCACTTTGCTTGAGCCTCCTTTTTCTGAGCCCTCTTTGCTTGAGCCCTTAAAACCGAACACCTCAGTGGAGTAGAATGCCAGAGCCTGAAGAGCCACCACTGTGTCCTATATAAGATGCAAATACAAAACAGAAACTACTTTGAATACGGTATATTCATATTAATACGAACATTCTCTCACTCACACACAGTAAACACTGGACTGAACATTGTTGCAATCATGGGTCAATGGCTGACCTAACTGAGGCTTTTATATACACTCTATGGGAGTTCACTACCTGTGTTGAGGAGAAGCCTCCATAATAGTTCTGCTGCTCAGTCAGCCACCTCATGATGCTGAAGGCATAAGCCAGTTCTTCACTGGTCGGGGAAGCACTGATTTGGGCCAACAGCACGTAGGAGCTGATCTCCACTGACAGGGAGGTGGACGTTTCTGTTGATTTCTGAGTCCAGTAGATGAAACTGCCTGAGAGCCGCACACAAACAGACACAGAGACACGATGTAAGCTGCATTTCTGATGACGAGGGATTGATGGGTTCCTGCATGAGGCACCTTCACCTTGCTTTTCTGCAACCTTGTCGAGGTACTCTAGAAGGTGAGCGCGGGTCTCCACGTCTCCTGCCAGGGTGAAGACGTACGCCAGCAGAGCTGTAGTGTAGGTGTTGCTGAGGTCATTCATGGAGTCTTTGAGGCAAGCCAGGCTCTTCTTCACCACAGAGTTCTTTAACAATTTTCACAATTAATGTGTCAGAACAAAATTCAGTATACTGATCAAAACAACAGGAACAAGTTTCAGAGTTACATGTCAGCAGTATGTCAGTGAACATGGTCTTATCTCCCTGCAGCAAAACAGAACAGATGTTGATGTCTTTTATGTGCATAATAGCAGTCAGTGAGTGAAAGACTTTTTAATTATCACAGTGAAGAATGAAAATGTTTTTGTTATGAGATTTGTTTTTAAATAAAGCTGATAGTTGAGGCTGGATCAGGTGAGCCCTTAGTTACGTTGCAATTGGCCTTGATCTTATACTTTCTGTTGTGAACCCCTTAAAACTTCTTCTGTCATACTGCTATAAAATAATAACCACAAATGAATAGAAAAATAAATTCAAATTACACATCAAAAGACTAAAGTCAAACAGGGGGGAAAAGCCCCCAAAAGACAAAGGCAAACACGCCACGGCTCTCTGTCCACAGATGTCAGCGTTATAAACCCGTGGTGTGACCTAGTGAGCTTTTCAGTTCAGCAGGATACGTCATCATCTCCAAAGGAAGAGCACACACATGTGAATTCTTTCAGCCACAGGGGCATCTACCTACTTTTGCATATTTCTTATTCTCCAGAAACGTCGCAGTGATGTACGCAGTGAGAGTGACTTCGTCCGACACGCCACCCTGTGGATAGAAAACCATCAAAGAAACTTTATCAGCAATGTGCCTCCAACGTGCAGGGATGTGAATTTCTAACCTGCGCATATTGTAGACGGTGTGAGTGTCGTGTTTCAAAAATGTGTCCTACATATTCTAATAAACAGTAGAGGTTTTAGATATGGGCGACATGGGCGGTTGCCCGGGGCAGCATCGTGGTTGGGGGCGGCATCACGGGCATCGGGAAAAAAAAAGAAGAAAATGCTCGTACTCATGCTCCCCCGACGTCAACCAGCGCATACTGGGAATAGCATAGGCACCGATCGGTTTCCTATCGCCCATTTGCTGGGAGTAAGGGCGCCCTCCGTTTGCGAGGTGCGCCTGCTGCTTGCGGCTCAGAGAGGAGAGGGCGGGGCGGCGGGGGATTCTCTGACTGGCTGGAGCAGCATCTAATAACCAACTCGCAAAATAAAACAAAATAACAAACCAACAAACACGAAAACACCAGACTTCATGATACAGACTTATAATTTGCACCGATGTTTTTTCGAAATTCTATATTCAAAAAAAAAAAAGCGAGAGCCCTCGGTGCGCCTGCTCGCTGCTGAAGTCAAAGTAAACTTTATTGTCATCTCCGCTACAGACAGTCCAGCAAATAGAGAGACGAGACGACGAGGCTCCAGTTACAGCTGTGCAAGTAAACAAACAATAAATATAAGAAGAGTAAGAAAATAAATACACACTTTAGGACTCGGGGTAAAGGATCAATAACAATTTAGAATTTACAGTTTGATGATTTAAAGTCTCACACTCAGCCATCGAAAGGGGAGGGGCCAGCTGCTTCCAGATAGAGCACATTTCATTCATAATGATGTAAATCCAAGCCCACTATGTGTTCATGATCTGAATCCTGGGTTGTGTGAAATCCCAGAAATACACCTCAGACAAAGTGAATCTGTGAACTAAGGTGTAGGTCTGTTAGGTTATGTTGTGGTGATTCTCGGGGATTGGGGGATTTGTGTTCATACTGGAGTGCAAAATTAAAACCAATGGAAGATGGACAAGAAAAATTCAAAGCCATCAGGTGCTCAGTTTAGAAAAAAGAGAAAAGAAGAGGAGGAGAAATGAGCAACAGATGCAGGTAAGCAGACGTGTGATTGGATAATGGCAGCTCATCCTGAACCAATCAGAGTCAGAATACTTTATTAATCCCTAAGGAAATTATGTGGGTTACAGTTGCTCCAAGAATAAATGGTAAAAATAGCAACAGTAACAGACTAAACTGCAAACAATACATCATGTTACAGATTTTAATATTAATTGTCAGTTGTTGATTTGTCCAGTTCTCATTGTATGACAAATTATGATGGCTGTTTGGTAGCCGTTTGCATACAATGCATACTTCATGTGTGTGTGTGTGTGTGTGTGGGGGGGGGGGTGCCAGAGGGAGTGTTCGCCCAGGGCGCCAAACAGGCTAGGACAGCCACTGCTAATAAATGTAACTTCTACCTCCAGATCCAGTCATTGTTTACATATTGTAATGTGATCTAGGCTGGTATTATTTATGGATTATTCTATGAGTAACAGTTTTCTAAGTTCTGACAGGCAGTTTCATGCTATACAAGTGTACCTTCATGCCAATGTGAATGAGTCTCCCTGACATTTTAAAACAGCCATTTTCTCGTTGTTGATTTTCCAGCCATGTGTTAGACTCTTCAATGTTTCTGGGATCGATGTGAATGAATTTCTCAGCTCGTGCAAAACATTTCACCACAAAAGCAGTCAGCCTGAAAACAAGTAAAAACACAGAAAAAACTACAGTTTTATTACCGTTTAAATGTAATTTAAATATTTTTGGAAATGCGAGTGAGAATGATAACAGGATGAATCACATTTCATGAAGAGGCAACAACCTCACAGCAATTTTTCTTGTGTCTTAAATGTGGGACACCATATAACTGTGTGAATAACGAGTGATGTTCTCACCAAGTGCTTCCCTCCCCTGTTCCAAATGCACTGTAAGAACCATCAGTATGCTTGTATGTCAGCTGATTTTGGTAGCCTGTAAAAGAAAAGAAAACTGATGTACGTGACAGAAAAACAAAAACATGAGCCTCTGAGAAAGAGATACCACACTCTTTGGAAAACGTATTTTCTTATTTTGCTTTAGAAATCCTTATCTCACTGAGTGATTACTTCATACTAGAAGTGAGGAAAAGCAAAGCCCAAATGTAAGTGAAGGAGGGTGTAACATGGAGATTTCCCTGCAGACATGCTAACAGATATCAGGTTGTAAGCTGTTTGGATGGGCTTGAGAAAAAAGCATGGCTGATTGCGCTGGTCTGTGCAGAGTGAACAACATCAGACTCCATCTCGTTATTCTGGTGAACCACCAGTGCACAAGTGATCTACAAACCCTGACAGCAAGTAGGTGAATTCTCCCATTTCAATATCGCTAGCTATCAATAAAGAACAACTTACTGCTTAAAAAAACCGAATGAAAGTGAATGGTACATTGGTTTCTAACATAAAACTACTGAATGCAGTCGGCGGCAGTACAAAAGTGACCAATTTTTTAGTTTTAGTCTCTTTTTTTCCCAGTGAGTCGTCAGTTCTGAGATTAATTAGCTAACATAAACCAATGCAAGCTGCAACCAACCACTGTACTGTCACAAGATGACGCTACAAAACCAGAACCAGAACTTTAAGCACTTATTTCTTGAATCCAGGTTCCTATTCAGAGTAAATATATCGCAGAGTAGCGCTCCATGGTGTAAAATAGGACAGGGAGAGACTAGCAAACATGTCTGAAGCACTACACTGAGGATACGTCATCATAAGCTGAAAGCTGCATGGCTTTCTGTGCTCTGCACACTGTGGTTGTGGTACTTTTACATATAAATGAGGATCTGTTACAGAGGAGTTCACACAATCAGACACATCTTGATGTTGCACAATGGCTCCTAAAAGAATATTTCGGAGTGCGGCTTGAGGAAAAAAAGATAAAAGTCTGTATGTATCGATTCTATCTGAATAAATTTGACAGTTGCGTTTCTTACCAGAAACTTATGTATGAACATACTTAACAGTAAATAGACACAGTTCATTTTAACCTGAGATAACAGATTTAAATGATGATGATGATGTTTCTCTGAGAACATGCTTGTTTTTTGTCAGCCTGTTCCCCAACTCAAGGGGAATTTTTGATTGATTGTATGGCTGGCATTAGTTGTTATCTACTTACCAATGTTTGTGTGTGTGGTTTTTGTTTGTTGTTTGTTTTGTGTTGCAATTTAGAGTTGGCTTTTATTTTTGAACAGATTCAATTTCATATACACACAGTAGTTTTCACCTGCCAAGCACTGGCTTAAAGTAATGAAGTTCTCCTTCATTTTAGCTGATGTGTTTGTCATTAGAACAAGCTTTATTGGCTGTTTGCTTTACAGCATAAGTAGAACTGCAGCATCATGCATAATGATAAGAGCTAGTGTTTTTCTCACAACATTAAAAAGGTGTTTTGGTTTGCTATTTTAACATAAAACCTATGAAATGTCCAAATTGCTCAAAATTCTGCTCATATTTTATTAATATACATTTTAAAATAAAATAAGAAATGTAATTCATTTGCCTTTTTCTACTTTGTGTATATGTGTTCCTCTTCATCTAGTTATGAGCATGTGTGTGATTTGTATATAGAAAATCCTTCAGAGCCTTCAGTTTTCAGGCCCCTCTTCTGTGGAACCAGCTTCCAGTTTGGATTCAGGAGACAGACACTATCTCTACTTTCAAGATTAGGCTTCAAACTTTCCTTTTTGCTAAAGCATATAGTTAGGGCTGGACCAGGTGACCCTGAATCCTCCCTTAGTTATGCTGCAATAGACGTAGGCTGCCGGGGATTCCCATGATGCATTGAGTTTTTCCTTTCTAGTCACCTTTCTCACTCACTATGTGTTAACAGACCTCTCTGCATTAAATCATATCTGTTATTAACCTCTGTCTCTCTTCCACAGCATGTCTTTATCCTGTCTTCCTTCTCTCACCCCAACCAATCACAGCAGATGGCCCCGCCCCTCCCTGAGCCTGGTTCTGCCGGAGGTTTCTTCCTGTTAAAAGGGAGTTTTTCCTTCCCACTGTCGCCAAAGTGCTGCTCATAGGGGGTCATATGATTGTTGGGTTTTTCTCTGTATCTATGAAGCGCCTTGAGGCGACTTTTGTTGTGATTTGGCGCTATATAAATAAAATTGAATTGAATTAAATTGATTGTCTCTGTAAAATATCTTTAGCTTTTAGTTTGGTTCACAAAACTTCAAGATTTTATTTTCAACATTTTCTACTTAAAGTATGTTTAACTCAGCTGGTAGATCTGGCTTTGAAATGTCCTAACCTAGGCATGACTTTTGCTTTCCTTGCTTTAGCTTTAGAGAAGTGCTGCACTCACCAGTGATTAGATAACTGGTAGCCTTTTCCTCGATGGTTGAGGTGAGCTGCTGTGTGTCTTTCAGGTACTCGAGGATGAAGATGTTGGGGGCGAGGAGAGCCATGTTCTGCTCTCCACATCCACTTGGCAGCTGTAGCAGACTGTCGAGGTTCTTCAGAGCCCGACCGAGAATGTCACCTGATGGAAAAAAGTCTCACTAAAGCTGAACATGTAACTAACCCATCATCTAATTTCAAATGAGTGAAAACATGCCAACAACCTAGAAAAATACCAAATACATCAAATGCAGTACTTTGTTGTAATCCGATGGTACTTTGAGTATGCTTGCTAAGCTTAAAATCAACTCATGAACTTCTAATAGAGCAATAGGTAGGAAAAAACAGCCTCACAGCATAGTCTTTTAATGTTAATTGAAACATTATTTATATATCATATGTAATTTTTCATGTAGTAGGTTTACCCAGGACTGATATAAAAGCATGGGCAGAATCTTCAATCACATTGTACGGAAGTTCAACCAGAACTTCTTCCCTCACAGTTTTTCCTGCACACAGACAAAAACAGCCACGTTACATGGGGAAGAGTACAAGTGTGGTCATTTCTTCTATTAGTTTAGTGAAATTAAGTTAACATTTATTGAAATAGTGGTATTAAAAGAAAACTGCTCTACTAGGCGATAGCCTTAGAAAACCATGCTGACCTTCTGGGAGTAGTAGCAAGTTGAAGGTCTTTGTCACCTCAACTCCCTCTGGCTGAGGGACGTGAAGATATAGCATTAACATTTATACCAAGATGGATTGACTTTCTCCCCCCCAAAAACTAAGGTGGTGAACACATTAACATCTTGTGTTTATGGCACCAACCTTCACTATGAGGGGTTTTGTCACCACGTCGATGCGACCTCTGTCTGGAACAGTTACAGCCCCAGAACCACATAAATCCACTGAAGCCACTGCCTCAGCAGACACAGTCACTTCCACAACCCCTAAAACACATCAGCGAAAATGACTTTCAAAATCCTGCAAACGATCAAACCCTCGTTATTCAAGGGATCTCAGTGTCTAATGATTCAAAGGAGAAGTGGTGGGAAAAGGGGCACATGGCTCCTTCACACTGAGACCCTCTAGCATTTGCTCCAAAGCTTGACCCTCACCTAAGGCCGATGGGGTCAAGCTCCAGCTGAAGGTCTTGCGCTTGCTGGCACACAAACAAGATGTGGTTTGGTCACCAAACAGGGAGGTGAGGGTGTAAAGTGAGGAAGATGCTGGTGTTACAGTGATCTGTTCCAGGGGCAAACAATACATTTTAAATATAGACTCTTTTGAGGAACAGGTTTAAATGTGCTCAGTATTTTCATTCATCTCAGAAATACTGAAGTTTTTCTTTAGTAATTCTGTGATTCTTTGCTGCTCGTCAGAGTTTAAGTAGCAGCACAGATTACCATCATGCAGCTGGTCAGGTAGCTGAAGACAGTTGCCTTCAGTTCAAAGAACTCCCCCCGGATGATAGAGTAGGGCATGGTGAGCTCGAGGAAGAAGGGCTGGAAGACTTTCAAATCTTCACGAGGAGCCAAACCAAAACCCTCAGCAGACAAGCAGAAAGCCTCCGTCTCCCAGGTGGTGATGGTGTCTGGGACGGTGAGGGTCATTTCCTCTGTGCCCGATTCTCTGAATCAGCCCAAACACCCAAGAACATTCTGTCAGGGGCTAAAATATACTCAACAAAACGTTTTTGCAGTGTGTTTTAAATGATGCAGTATTGGACACATTTTTGCTGAAGAACTTCTAACAATAGCAGCACAAATGTTTAACCTCTTAAGCCCCAACGTCCCCTGATATGGGGGCAAAAGGCAGGAGATCAGTTAGGCTTGAGAGGTTAACTGAAGCTACAATTCCAAATCAGTGATTGTTAATTTATTTCAAACAGGTAAACAATATACAGGTACATTTAGAAAAGAAAATAAGAGAGAGAAAAATACTAAACAAAAGTCAGCACATTTCAATATTGCTACTGTTCTGATTCAGTTACATGTCGAGAGGGAAGAAGGAAACACTTATTTAATCCCACCCCTTTGCCATAAATGATCAGTTAATATTTAGTTGCTTCCTTACTGATATAACCTGTAACAACAATAGTGAACAGATTTCTGATATACTATACACTATAATATCACATCATGATTTTTTTTTTTTAAATAGAGACATTCACTTAATTTCAATATTTTCCTTTTCTTTATAGTTTGAGAAGATCATATTTTTATAACTCTTTTTGAACAGTTTTATGTTTGGACGTCGCTTTAATTCCATATTCAGACTGTTCTACAGTTTCACTCCATGCACAGAAACACAAAAGCTTTTTCTTGTAGTACGTACCTTCCCTGTTTAGAAGTTGCAAAAACTCCTTAAATTATAACTTCCTTCATCATCAAAAAACAAAATGCACATAAAAATACTCCAAATCTTGATGGGAGAACTGGTGAATCTTTGGTTTCATTATGCACTCAAAGACTTTTCTCAAGCACTTAATGTTTATCAAATCAGTTTACAACACAAGCTCACCTAACGTCTACCAGATCCCATATCCAAGTCTCTGGGAAGAAAGTACGGACTGTTTTTATGGGTGAAATGTCAGGAGGAAGTGCCGGAGCACCAGAGGCAGCTGCATCTGGTATTCTCTCTAATATGTCCAACTTGTATACTTGATAAGGACCCTTCCAAAAGCACTGGTCTACAAAGAAAGCAGAAAAAGAGATTGAAACAACCATAAAGATAACTGCTTCATTTTTCTTTCAAATGATCAGCATCACTCTTCAAAGTCACCTCGATAGTATTCTCTTCCTTTGTACTTGAGGCATGAAGGCAACTGAATAACCAAGTTGGTTGCCATCTTCAGTCCTACACTCTACATAATCCAGCACATACAAATAGTTCATTACAGGAAAAACAACAAAAAGCTTTTTACTAAATATGACTTACAGGTACGTATGCAGATTACCTGGAAAACAGTGTGGGCATCATTTCTGCCACTCTCAGGAAACGGCAGAATTGATCTTTTTGGTCTCACTTCCATGCACTCTATAGGATCTTGAACCTCATATGGGACATAGGTTGCTTTCCTGACAGGAAGCAAGTCATAAATCTGAAAGAAAATATGTATGTATGATCTTTCTACTGTACACTCTTACTCTTGCCAGCTGTTCAAAAGAGAAAAGGAGGGGCTGTGCATTTGGTATTGAGCCTTCAACATCCAACATCCCACCTGACCTGGTGGTCGTTAAAAACGCTGTTACCTTTTCAGCATTCAGAGTCTTCCCTGGCTCCTTGATGAGGATACTCTGGTCGATGGCACTCACACCACACAGAGAGTGCGGCAGGGCCGTCACCTGGAAGTTGGTCTCATCTCCTGGGACAGCTGAAGGTGGTACAAAATGTACCGACACCTGATGCACACAAAACCCAAATGAAACCATCCAGATGTTAATATGTGAGGTGAACTCTGGTGGTGAACAAAGGTGAACTTCGAACAAATATTTGGCAAGTAAAATCATGTGATACAAATGGATCTGACTGTATTCTGTATAAATAAACACCTGTAATTCGAAATGACCTCAGGTTTTGTAATGTTTTGTAAAATCTAATCTAAAATAATGGAGATGGAAACATTACAATTTGGCATAAAATGATAACAATAATCTTTTTGAGTTGAGGTTACTCACTTTGCAAAGTACTAAAAATTAGTTTTAGTAAAATTAGCAACATTTCAATTTCAAAAAATCTATTTTAAGTTGAAAAGAAGATAATTATTTATAGATTATTTTCATCATTGTAATTTTCTGTTTGAATACTTTGAACATTGAGCTGGACAGGTGACCGATGGATAGGTACAGAAAACCATATAAAAAGTGTCACTTCATGGCCCGTGTGACCATGGTAACATGAAAACACCAATTATGCTCCAAACAGTTTTGGGAGATTCGTTTTTGTGGACAATCCTGAATCACTGCTTACTCAATGTGTTGCTTGCTTGTGGAAAGTTAACTATTTAAACATTTATGGCCAAATTACATATTTGCGCATGAACTGGCGTACTACAGTCAAGTCTGATTTGCATGTGATGGCTCCAGAAATCTTTAACCATGACATGAAAGAATTTTTGCTGGTACACCTACGAGTAAATGTTATTTCAGGTTAGCCTTATTGGCTATCTTGATATTGATAATTTTGTAAAAGCGTCGACTAAGTAATCTTTACTGACCTTGTTAGTGAAGCACTTCTCAGTGGAGAATTCAGCACTGTGAGCGATCACATTCTCACTGGGGAGGACAGCATAAGCCACAATCTGGATGTCTGGTGTCATCTCAGGAGATACAGTCAACTTCAAGGACACCTCGCCCTCATTCACTGAAACACAGAGCATCAAAAGCTACTTTACTGGGAAAATTTGAAAGTCAAGATCAAAGCCATGTTTAGCACACCTGTTTGAGATGTAACTTTAAGCTCTTGATGTCCGTGAACGGAAATAACTCCTCTGGACAAGACCTTGATAATTTTGGAGAAAATGACACAAGGAGACAGTCAGCAGCAAATATTCACTTCCTTTCTTTTTGCCGTTCTGCTTTGGTTCTTTCATGTGACTTGATTGAGTAAACTAACGTGACTGTTAAAGCTATTCATCTTAAATTTTAATGAAAGCACCTACACATTAAAAAACAAACTTTTTTCAATGGTGTGACTTTGACTTTCTTGGTCAAGCGCTTACAAATGATCACACCTAAATAATACCAAAATGTTACCATACAGGTTCTTATCATGGTGTAACAGAACGTTCAAACTCCACGCTGTCATTGAATAACATTAAGGCCTTTGACATGCGTCTTTCTACTATGTATTTTCTCACCAGATACATCAGATCCACAGAGCCTGGGGCCTCTCCCACGATCGTGTACCAGATAGATATGGCTTCTTCTGTCTCACACGGAAGAGGTTTGTCCTTCGTCTTTATCTCCAGGAAGCTAACTGTTTTATCATCAGGAGAAGACGGTTTGACCATGGACAAAGTGTGAGTTCCAACCTCAAAGAAAGCAGTTCTATATCCAGCGTAATCCAGAGTCGGCGCCAGGCTTGCCTGGTTGTGGAACAAAACATAAATGAACGAAGGAGGGGAACATTTGGGCAGAAAGTTTTAGCTGTTCATGAAATCACAGCTATTTTATATTATACAATATATATATATTTATATTATAAATGTCAGTGCAGCTTTTCACTTACATGGAGTTGGACGTCCCCTTTTAATTCGTTTGTGCTAAGTGAGAACACGGCAACACCTTTCTCGTCAGTTTTTACATTTTGTATTGAGCTCAGGGAAATGTCTCCCTCAAAGAGGTAAACGATGCGGTCAGGAATGGGTTCACCATTATGATAAACAGCTTTGACCTGTTGAAAGGAAAACGATGATGTGTGGATCCACAGGAGTTCAGCTGTATTACAAAATGATGATAACTGAGAAAAACACTTACTTTTCCTTGCACATTTGTTCCTGGTTCATAAATGTCGGGAGTATCAACAAAAGACACTCTTCCAAGGACATATGAAATCGTTATGCTTTGCTTTTGTGATATCAAAACACCTAAAAAAAAAGCAATAGATATGATATATTGTTACAATACACCAAAGTGCGTCGTTACAATAAACTAAATATGAATATAGTCTTGCCTGTGCCCTCCTCTTCCATTTTAACGGTGATGTCCAGGATATCGTTCAGTGCTGTTGAATCAACTTTGTTGAAGTTTGACATGTTGACGGTAAAAGTGGTACAGCCTTCCTTATCTGCCTAGAATATATTGTGAAAACAAAATAAAAGCTGATATTAGCCGTTTCTCAGCACGACAGCCATGGTGATACCCGTCATCCGAGTTTGCTCCAAGAGTTTAGCAAAGCAAATCATTCAGATCTGACACAAACATCACATACATGCACATTTAAAGCAGTGGATCAGACAGTCTTCAGACAAAACAAGCCTAGTGCTGAAGGCCCTAAATACAAGGGCCTTAAGTTAGTCGGCCTTACACTTACTATTACTACTATCTTCTTTGCTTTTGCGCTAAAGTAATGACTGATAATATCTAAACACTACTGGTCTGTGCACACTTACAAGGACTAGTTTGACAAATGACTCTTGGAAATTTGCTGCTTTTCTTTTAGTGAGTTTGAGTTTTGCTTTGGGCTGTTGCCGTGAAGTCAAACAATTCAAAAAGGTCAAACCAACAAATGTTATTAATATTTTTACAAGGATTTTAGAGATTAAAACATTTTAATTTGAAATGTGACTGACAATTTAAGAGAGTTCCCTCTGAAACACGGAAATACTGAAGAAGGCACAAAATACTCGGATACTTGTAGTCTGAGAGTGAGTTGTAGCTTTGCAGGGATACTCCACACCAAGTTTACGTTTGGTAACATTGTAGTGGTTGTATAAATTATGTATATAGTGAATGCGTAGTGCAGGAGTTTACACATTCCCAACAAAAAATGTTTCTGGTTTGCTTCCAGGAGGAGACATAAATCTCTTTGGGATTGCGCCAGGAAAGGCCTCGTGCCTTTAAAACATCACTCAACTAAATGAAATGTTTGTGAATAAGGGAGCAGTTATAATTTATTTTAATCGCACAAACAAACTTGAGCAGAAATTTGTAATAAAGAAGAAAACACCCTCTATGCGAACTTTGTTTCTGCGGTGATGAAACTGAACCTGTACCTGCTTCGTCTCTGAGTGACACACAGGATTTGTGTCATCATGTGAATTACTCTCATCAATGTGCTCTGCAACTCTGATCCACTCTGAACCGTGAAAATGTCCCAGAGTAGGTCGGCACACACCTACAGTGACCCTTCCTGGCACCGGCTGCTTAAATGTATACCTGTTAAAATTAAAAATAAATACATAAATAAAACAAATAAGAATAAAATCTAGTAGACATCTGTCATTTTACTTACTTTGAACATATTTGAGCCTTAAAGCTCTGATCTCCAACACTCACTTCGTCAGGCACTTTTATAGTTACATCGAATTTGGGCAAAACTGGGGACAAAGTGTCCGTGTCAGTGTTTAAGCTTCACTGCAAATGGGAAGAGTGTAACAATCAGCCCAACTTACCATACTTCTCCACCGTGAAAGTGTAATATACTTTGGATTCACCCATGGTCACAGTGATTTTGTATATTCCCTCACGAGCCTCAGAACTCAAGAAGTATGAAAGCTGCAGTATTTTGTTATCTGAATTTGTCTTGAGCCACTGCCCAATCCTGTTCCCGCTCGGATCCTGTTACATGCAAAATGAAAGAATATAATTAAGAATATAATTAATAACCAAATACGTGGGTCAAAGAATTATTACTTCTGTCAATTTGACTTTGAAAGGTGTTAATCATACATATATACAGTGTTGGGGAGTAACGGAATACATGTATCGCCGTTACGTATTTAAAATACAAAATATGAGTAACTGTATTCCGTTACAGTTACCGTTTAAAAAGGTGGTATTCAGAATACAGTTACTTTGTTGAAATAAATGGAA